CTGGGCCATGTTGATCTGAGGTGAAGTTCCAGGTCCTCTTCTGCTAGATGCGATCTTTTTTCCAATTCAAGCACCAATTTATATGCTTGTTCAAGGAGACTTAGATTATCATCCTTTTGGAAGTTCCACTGATCTCCTAGGACAGTACCAATCATGTCCACATAAAACAGGAACAAAGTCGTTTTGATTTCGAAATTATAATTCCTCCTCAGAACTTCCTTTGAAACTTGAATTCCAGACTTTTGATTCCAAAAGGAATGCCAACTATTTCTGGAGGACAACAGGTGATTGATTGAATCTATCAGAACGCTTTCCCGCACAGGTTGTGAAGCTCTCACTCTTGGCTTATTATTTGCTCTTTCTTCAGTCCTCAATTTTTTCTTTGGATTCAAATCTTTCTGGTTCTTTCTATGTTTCCAAACTACTTCTTTGAGCAGGTAACAAACCTGTGGTGCTGGTTCTCCTGAAATATCAAGTCGACCATCTTCAGAGTGATGATCTTCAATGAGGGAGATGATTGATTCTGCTTTAAAACAATCCGATTCTGATGGATAGTGCTTATATGTAAAGACTTGCACATCAAATTTGAAGATATCAGCAAACTTTATTTTACTCTGATAGACTGGTGTAGCAGATGAAACATGAGAATCTAGGCTGCTGTTGATCAAATTTTGATTTGTTGATGGAAGATCATTTGAAATCTGAAAATCCATCGAGTCACTTCTGTTGGAATTTTCTCCAAGTATTGGGTTATGACTTGGCTTCTGCAGCTCAATATTCCTTGCTAAGTGATTGGAAAGTTGATTATTATTTGGAGATTGGTCGTCCTTTCTCTTTTTACATGGGTTTTCCTCCATGAGGCCATGCTTGTAGTCCCAAAACCTTTTGTATAAGAGGCTATCTGACTCCTTAAGATAACTCATGGCTTCTGTGTCAAAGTGGGTTGAGGATTGATGACTTGATCCTGCTTCAGTTTCTGTCTCAAATTGAGGATTCATGGTGAGTGTGTTTGAAATTGGATCACAGATGATGGGTTCTTGATCAATCCAAGATTTCAAAGATTCATGTTTCTTATTCTCCATAATGACTTCTAAGAGGGAAGGGCTATTATTGTTATGGAATCCTTCCTGAGTATGTTGAAAATAGTCTTCTGAAGCATGTGGATGAAAAAAATAAGTGTTTTTCATTATCATATCTGGATGTGGTTGTGAAATACCTTCCAAGTGATAATTCTCAAAACTTGGCAAGAGACCACCTGACTGTGTTACATGACTCAGGTACTTAGAGTTTGAGAATTGAGAGCCTGACCCTATTTCTATTTGAGGATATTTGAAAAACTCATTTGGTGTTGGATTGGTGATTATTGGTTCTCCTCTCATCTGATATGGTAAATCTTGAAGCATTTCATTTTGAAGAGTGACAGGTAAAATATAGGGGTTGTGAATATCTGGAGTGAATTTTTGCACATTTTCCACTGATGATTTTGAATGATAATCATGATTGTTATCTTGGTGCTGATCACACAGCCAAGTACCAATTTCTGTGGACAAAAGCTTAAGAATTGGGTCAATTGAATCCAAGGAGAACATCTGGGTGTTGTGGCCCAAGTTTGGATGAAATTGCAAATTTTGCACTGCATCATCTGAATGGCTGTTGTGTGTGTATGCTGGGTCACTGCTTTGGCTGTTACTAGTTATTAAGTCTTGACTTGGCCAACCTGGAAAAGTTCCAGCCTCATGATTATTGTTGGGTGTAACAGAATTTGAGTTACAATTTTCTGCTGTGAATACCTGACCAATATCGTTTACCTGTGAAGGATTCTGTGAGTTTTCTGAGCTCCAGTGAGTATATTGACCTTGTCCTGTGATAATATTTTCTTGTGGAGATTCCTGGAGGGATGGTATTGAGGTGGAGCAAAAAATGTCCTCCACCTTGACAGGTTGATTATCCTTCCAATTGAGAAGATGGTCCAAAGGCTCTGTCATCCATGCTTGATCTTCTGAGGCATTACACACACTCCAAACAGCCATGTAAGCAAGGATAATACTGGACCTGATCCAACAGCCCATCATTTTCCTAAAAATAAAAGCAGAAGCTGCTTGAGTTAATTTAATAATTTGATTAATCAAGGAGCTTTAATGCCCAGTTTCTGGGAGAGAAATAAATATAGTGTTATTGACTGTTTATTCCAGATCCTAAATTCTCTGCATCATTTATACTTTTCAAGTAATTTCTCTTACAGGGGGTGTAACAGTAACAAGGTTTCAAAACAAGATCTTCACTTAAAATACAGCCCCCCTTGTGTTTCATCATTGTGAAGCAGAGTTTATTGTCTTGAAACATGAATCATTGATCATGATCATGGATGTATGCTACTGATACTCTTGAAAGGAATACTATTCATAGTGTTTTGAAGTAATAGGGGGTGTCAAATACAGGCAAATCCACCATTATGTAATTGACTGTAAGGCCCCAAGCATGGGCCTGAAGGTCTGGCCTGAGGTTTGAAACAGGGGCTCAGGGCATCTTGATGGGTCTTGTGGAAACCCCAAACCCTGGGGTGTTGACTTTCATTGCTTGGGTACAGGATTTCAAGTGCTTCACCTGTTTTGTTGGGGGGATTTTAACTCCAGTTTTTATCCATTCATACATTCTTCTGGTCCACCCCTTTTACATTTCTGGGGTTTTTTTACCATCAAAGGTTTTAAATGCACTGGCAGCTCCCTCCATTGAGGCTCAATTAACAATTTCTGCATTTCATCTGGAAGCAGTTGATTATTTTTTTTCTTGTGGTGGATCTGGCCATCCTCAATGGAACTAATTTCCATCCTGTGGATGGTTTATTGAGTCTCAGTCTCATGTTTTTGGTCTGATGTGATGGAAATTCATCCTGTGTAATAGTAAACAAGACTTGATGTTGAGATGATCTAAAAAGACATTGAGATAAAATTGCCAAAAAAAAAAAAAAAATGAAACTGACTATCTAAACTTGATTGATGGAAAACTGAAAAAAAAGATACAAGAATTGATGAGAGTGAAATTGATACAATAATTTATCCTTTAATCAGTGGCTCATAATGTTCTTTCAATCTAACATTTAAATTTTCAATTGAGTAATAGAAGAGATTATTGAAGAAGGTTAGGAAATGTGTATGGATTTGTGACCTCCCATTGGGAAAGAAAATTTCACATATATGTTTATTATTTGACTTGAGGATAAAATCTTTGATCCACCTCCAAACCAATGCAAATTTCTTTGTGGAAGTGCTACTTTTGTTGTTAGTCTGCTTGAAGGATGTAATCATAGGCTTTTTAGCTTTAGATTTCTTTGGTTTTAAATCTTTAGTATAACTTGATGAAAGTTGTTTGTTTTTGGATGGTTTCAATAATGCTTCTAGATATGATCCTGGTATTGCTTCAAAAGCAAAATTTCTTGCTTGTTCCAAAAGGTTAAGATGACTTTCTTGTTCAAATTTCCAATCATATCCAAAGATAGACCCAATCATATCAATGTAAAAAATGAATAAAATAATAGTGCTTTCAAATTTGAAGTCTTTTCTTGAGTTTGAATTTACAATCTTAATGTTTGCCTTTTCATTCCAAAATTGATACCAAAGATTTCTTTTTGAAATGAGTAAATTAAGTGCATTCACTTGAAGCTGGCCTCTCTCAACTTCTGTGTCCAGAACCTCAGGTTCTTGAAGTGAAGAACTACCTATTTTAGGGTCCTCTCTATTATCAACTTGTTCATTTGAAAAGAAAGTTGGATACTTTTTTCTGCCTCTCAAAGTTGAAGCTACTTCTGAGAATTCTAAGCAAACCCATTGTGTTGATTTTTTTCCTTCTTTGATATCAATTTTTCCACTTTCACCCCAATGTCTCTTAATGAATGCAATGATGGATTCTACTCTCATCCTATCTGCTACATTTGGATATTCTTTATGTGTGAAAGCTCTGACATCAAACCTAAGAATCTCTTCCAAGTAGCTTTTATCTTGGGAAATTTGTAATGGGAATACATTTGAAGAGAAGTACAAATCTGACATTCTCTTAAGGTCATTTTTTGTTCCTAATGAAATGCTGTTCCAAGATTTCTCACTATTTTTATTCATGATTTTTTGTTCCTCATTACCTATTTTATTATCACTTAGGTCTATGCCTTGACCTGTAAGTGGATGATTGAATATGCCATTTGAACCTTGGGAGAATTTCATTTTCTTTCTGGTTTTTTCCCTTGAATTCTCAGGCTTATGATTTGTAATCATTTTGTTTCCAAGGATGTTTGAATTGTTTAAATGATCCATGGTTTGGGTTTCAATTTTGAAATTTGTTGATGTTCCTAATTCAGATTTTCTTGCAGCTTCAAATGATTTTGGATACATATCTATCCCAGCTTCAATAGATTCAAGCATTTGAGATTCAAGAATGTTTGGTAAGCTTGAAAGGAACTCAAAGTTTTGGATATGTTCTTGGTGATCTTGCAGATTGTTTACAGGATCATTTGCATGAGCACAATGTGTATTTTTTAGTATCTCATGATGATATGGACAAGAACAAGATTCCATAGATGGATTGACATGTTCAATTGAGAGGCTAGCTGGCTGATTCAAAAGCCTCTCAGCTCCTGTTTCAAAGTTGGTAGAAAATTGAGGATCCATTCCTACATCATTTTCTGCTTCTAGTGCAGGATTTATGGACACTATATTTGATGTTGGCTGGTGGAATATTGGTTCATTCTTTATCTGAGATGACAGAGTAGATTTAAACATCCCAGGTCCAAAAATGATTGGCAAACTGGAAATAATCTCATTGTTCTGAATCTGTTCTGAGTGCTCTTTTGGAGTTTCTACTACAATATTTGAATGGGCACCTTGGGTATTTGATGGTAGTTGATCATCTTTGGGAAAGTTGGTTGACAATTGAGGATATATTCCTATAGGTGTTGCTGTTTCTACTTCAGAGTTTTTGGCAACTTCATGTGATGTTGGGGGTCGGAAAATGTGTTGTGTCTCTACCTGTGATAGTATAGATTGAAGCATTTCAGGGTCAAAAATGCCCAGTGTGCTGGGAAGAACCTGATCAATGTTGTGGACATCTTCTGAGTGATTTTGAAGATCTTCTGTTCCAATGTAATTCAGATGGTCATGATAATCATGAGCATCTTCTAATATCTGGTCATATGACCAAGGCCCAGTTTCCAGATTGGATGCATTCTCAAGAATTGGTTGATGATCAGTGTAAGCCAAGGGATAAACTTCATCTCTATTACCAGGTCTTGGATGAAAGTGTAAGAGTGGTACTACATGATCTGAATGACTACCCAGAGTGTATCCTGGTGGATCCTCATTTGTGCTGGACCTGCTTCCCATGTTGGCTTTCCCTTTCCAAGCTTGAAAGTGACCGGATTGAAGATTGCCAGCACTTGTACCACCACCATCCGAGCCGCTTGCTTGGACTGCGAAGATTTGGCCCGTTTGTTCTATTGGCAAAGGAGATTGTTGTCTTTCCAGCTTGGGAGCTGAAGATTGACCCGCAGTGCTAGTGGTTGGAATATTGGGTGTTGAGCAAAGAATTTCATGAATGTCGAGAGGTCCATTATGATCCGTCCAGTCGAGCAAATGGCCCACAGACTCGCCGGATTCCCAACTAGCTCGATCCTCTGAGGCCTCCCAAAGAGAGCAAAAGACGGGCTTTAGACCGGCAAGACAAAGACAAGCGAGGAGAAGAACGCCTCCAAGCTCACAAGAAACTATCATTGTGCAACTCAAATGACTGGCGCTGGAAGGAAATCTCTTGCCGTTTTGGCTAATAAGTACTTTCGGGTATTGTTGGGAAGATTATGTAATGTTCGAGTAGAAATGTGATTTTGCGCATGCACGCCGGCACGGTGAACTCCCAAATCATTTTTCAACTCTGCAATGACAAGACACATCAAACAACGATCCGTGTTTACATCGAGGCTCTGACATGTTTATTTTAAAACAATACATCAGCACCATAGAATAGCGTCCATATGGTATCCAGGGAAGTATGTCAATGATGTATTGATGTTTCATATTAATATCTGTTTTCTAATCCCCTATCCCCAACCTTAATTAATCATGACAAAAAGTAACTCCTGATGAATTTTCCTCACATGTTTTAGATGATCATGTTTTTTTTTTTTTTGGATAAAAAGGTTGATGGCCTTAATCTTTTCAATTTTCAATCATTAAAAGAAATTCATAAGAGAAAAGGATAAACCACATCAAACAATCCTTTGTGACTTTTATTACGTCGAAAGACCAACTTGTAAAAAAAAAAAACAGAGACAAAGTGAATGCGCGAGTTTACAACTTTAAAGAAGCCCCACTTTCCAATTTACGATTCTTATTTTTATTCTTGGAAGGATGAAGATCGAGATCAGAAGAGCGTTTAAGGTTAGAGTTATTACCAAGGATCGTGATATTTTGAGCGAGTGTATTAGAGGGTTTTTGAAGCAAGTTTAACGAAGCAAGTTTCTGTTCCTTAACAGACGATCGATCGTGTTTTTGATCGTTCGAGGCAGAGGAGGATTCCGGATGATGGTCCTTCTTCTGATTCTGAGTCAAGCCAGACCCCGAACCAGTCGAGGACTTGGACTTATGTTTCTTGAGATGAGTGCGCAAGTTCTGTTTCTGTGCATGAGTCAGACTATCAACGTCAGTCACAAGCTCCTTGGTCGATCGGACGTTGAAGAGCTCTTCAGGGGCCAACAGGGTTCCGGCTCCGGTGGCCGTCGGAAGACTGCTCTCGAGCGAGATCGCCGGTAGGTTGTTGATCGTCTTGATCGTCGCCGTGGGCTGGTGAGGGGTGAAGTGGGCATTGCTCAAGGCGTCTAACTTCCCACTCAAGCTCTCGAACATTCCCTTCAACTCCTCGTGCTCCTTGCTCAACTTCTCGTCCTTCACATCCATCGCCCTCTGTCCGGTTTCTGAATGGCTCTTCTTCTTGGTATATTCATCTTCATAGATCTCCGTCAAGGATTTTGTCGCCTGAGTGTCTTGTAATTCTAACAACCGGGATGGTAAAAACACTTTTGGGTCGATTGGCCGCTTCCGAATCACATCGTCGTAATTACCCTAGAAATTTGATGACGGTTAATTCTTCTGGTTGGATCCATCAAACTGAATGAGGAAGACATTTGCTTACTTCGAGGATCCTTTGCTTGATTAAGGATTCCAGGTTTTGAGTTTTTTCCTCAGTCACAGCTGGAGCGATTTTTTGAATATGTTCAAACTCCAAAACCTCCTCGAGCAAGCTGTTCTGAGGACGATCTTTTGATGCGGCTTCGCCCTTCATCATCCACTCCTTCTTGGCCACGTTCTCTGCTTCGAGTTGAGCGATCTGTTTAGATAGGCTCTTCATCTTCTTTGCATGTCTCGAAAGATCTTCTTCGGCCTGCCCTCGATCCGAGTCATTTGAACCCGAGCCATCCTCTGAGAAGCCATCGTCAAAGAGATCTCCACTCAGTCGATTCATCGTCTTTTCTCCTCCGTCTTCGTCTTGACTGTCAAGGTCGTTGGAATCTGAGTCACTGTCACCGGATGAATGATGATCGTCCGAGCCCTCTTCCTGATCCTCCTCATCTTCACTGCCACTCTCATCATCCGACTGAAAATCTACGTCATCGTCATCGTCATCTTCATCTTCATCGCCATCATCCTCGCCACTCAGCATTTCAGCCACCCGTACACCTCGGTTCTTGGCAGGGATCTCTTTGACTTTGACTTCCTCCGAGAACTTGACCTTCCCGAGTTTGGGCTGTAGTTTGATTTTTTTCTTGGTACCAGGTTCAGATGGGGTATCAGCTGGTTTGGGTTGTCGCTTTCCAGGCGGTTTCTTGGCGATCGGGGCAAAGAAGTCATTATACCTGAGATCTATTAGAATTAGAAAAGAAAGGAAAAACAAAAAACAAGGGTGTTAGTTCCGAATCAGTTGAGTCAAGGTTCATATTGAGGGAAGTGATGGTGGGGTTACCTGCGACTGAATCCAGATCGACTTGTCCACCCTCCTCCTCATCATCATCCATAGCATCCTCGTCATCTATCAACCCAGTATCGAACCTTGAAAACAGATCGACCTCTTCCTCTTCTTCACTATCCTCATCATCCTCAGGTTGACCACTCAGACCGGTTGATCGCCTCAGCTTCCTCCTCATCTCTGCTTCACCATCCTCGGCTTCCTGTTCGAATTCGGCCAATGAGAAGAAGTCGCTGTCGACTTTCGATCGCCGAGGTTTGGGTTTGTTCTTGGACGAGGCTGAAGATGAAGATGATGATCGTGATTCGAGCTTGTCGAGGGAGAGCGTTCTGTTTAGTCCCTTATCTTTTTTTTCATCCTGATGATCTTCATCTTCATCTTCATCTTCGGTGGAAATTTGACTGCTATCATCTTGATCGGCATCATTTAATGTGGTGACGTAAGATTCGTTTGGTTCAGGGTGAGACTGATCGTCCGAGTCTTCTCCTTCGCCGGAGGAGAAGAGTTGTTCGGTTGCGTAGGAGGAGTCGTCCTCTTCGTCGAGACTGGAGAGCTCATCGGATTCTTCAGAGAGTGAGTCAGGATCATGTTCCAGTTGGAGTGCTAGGGTATCCTTCTTGGTTGTGTCTTGATCTTGTTGATCTTGTTGTTGATCGGCTTGGATGTCCAGGTCGAGTGTGTCCTTGACCCAATTGATGAGGCAGTTCTGCCTGAGTGAGAGTTGATGCCAGATGGCTAGAGGATCGGTTTCAGTTGGGAGGTAGAGTTCTTCGAGAGGTGTTCTGGGTAACAAGTTGGCAGACTGATTGGCAGTGGGTTGGTTCGATTGGTCAGTTGAGGTGGTGACCAAGGCTTCTAGGACTGGGAGATGTTCTGATTCGGCCTTGAGTGCTGAGTTGAAGATCTCCTTGGATAGTTCGAGTGTTTCGTCAATCAGTGTCTTCCTCTGTCCTTCCAGGTCTACCTCCTCCTGGTCCTTCCCGATCGACGTTCCTTTGATTGATCGACAGTTCCCAGCCAGGAGTGAGACCGATTGAGATAGTCGATCGGCTAGACATGAGGCTTGATCTTCGATATCACCCATCGTCCCTTGGTCTTGCTAAGATAAAACCTGTTCAAGAGTCACAGAGACGGTCAACAGCAGAAAACGGTCAAGAGGAGAGAAAGACGGCGGTCTCCCAAAAAAAAAAGTTGAAACCGAAACCCATCTGGAGTTTATTCATTATGACTGGACTTTTATTCATTGTGGCTGGAATCTTATTCACTATCACTGGTCTTTATTCATTATCAAACCAACTCTCACTTCTTTCTCACTTCTTCACAGCACTCGACAAAAAATATATATCATCCATCTCCTAATAACAAAATGAACCAATACTATCAACAACAACAGCAGCAGCAGTACTACTACTACCAACAACAACAGCAACAATACTACCAGCAACAACAACAACCACAACAATCAAACTCACTCATCTCATCAGTCAACCAAGCCATCCAAAACCATCTACCAAACAACTACCACCACCACCACCCACAAACTCAAGTTCAACCTCAACCTTTCCAATTTCCACCCCAACAGTTTCAATACCAACAGCCGTACTATCAATATCCATATCCACCTGCCACCACCTCCCAAGGCTACTCCATCTCTCCCACCGCTCATCCTGCCCCACCATACCAACCATACCCACCCCCTAATAATCGTCACCAACAAAATCATCATCAAAATCAAAATGATAATAGCAGTAATAAAAGACCAAAGACTCATCACAATCAACTCGAGAAGTAAATCAAATTTCTCAATATTCAATCACTTACCAATACTCATCTCAACGTTCTGCTTTTAGGTTTCGATGCGAAGAATGTCGACAGGATTATTACAATCTGATGGATCTATCAAACCATCTCAGAAACCACATCAAGTGCGATTATCAAGACTGTAAATTCGAGGCGATCCAAAATATCTTAGATCTTCACAGGGTACGAAGAAAGCAGGCCAAATTAAGCCCCCTCCCCCCAATTATCAGTTGCTCATCTTGATTTCTCTTCTTTGGAACGCTCGACAACAAAACCATAAAGGAGGACCGTCATCTGATTTTTAAACCTGGCAGAGAACCTAAAAAAGCAAATCCCAAACCGGATGGACCATTGAAGTTTGTCGTTTCTTTCAACTCGATTATCCCAAAAGACAAACCCATTCACTATTTGAATCATTAATTTGTGTGTCTTCATAGTGCGACGATCCAAGGACTGGGATACGCGTTAAAGACTCAAGAAGAAATTGACAATTGGATTCAAGAACGCAAGAAAAAGTGGCCCACCAAAGCAGTCATCACACAAAAGGTTCGTGGTTCCACTTGTTATTTAACCCTCCAAGTGTCTCTTTTCTCGTAATCTAACCTGTGTGTGTGTGTGTGTTTCCATTACAGAAAGCTCACGCAGAAGAAAAAAAGCAGAAAATCCTATCCGAGCTTTCCAACAAGCATAAAAACGAGCACAAGAACCGGAGACGGGTGTGGGTCAGGAACGACCAGCTCGACGATCCAGTAAGTACCGTTAGAAGAGCCGGTCCAAGTTCGACGAAGCCGGATCATCGTCAAGGAGAAAGCCATCAATTGGATGGCAACGAGAGTTCATCAAGTGGATCAGATCTCGATCCCGTGAAAGATGCCGTGTCTAGTAAAATCATCCCTCCCGTCACCGGCCCTTCTTTTACACAATCTTCTTCCTCCTCCAATCCTGGGCCAAATAAGAATCACCAAACTTCCCAGCGACAAGTTGAGTACCTTTTTCCTCTCCTTTTCTACTCTCGCGTTTTATTAATCGACTGGTTTTGCTGTTTTCTGATAGGACCATCCTAATAGACCACATCAAAAGTCATCCTCTTCCAACCGTCGAAACGACAATTCTTCTTCCGCCCATTTGTTTCTGGACCGGTCTGGCCTGTTCTCCAAGGTTCGTCTACAATTTTCAATTCAACACTACAATGGATAAGACACCATTCTTTCTCTCTGGCAAATAATGCAAGCTAAGCAATTATTCTTCTAAACTTGATCGTTCGAAAAAAAAACAGTTGATCGAAAAAGACGTCGAACAAGACGTCTCTGATCTGTACGATGTCATCGATTTTCTTACCCGGAACTCGTTCCTTGATGGATTCCATACTCAGATCCTTCATCCAACTCATACAGAACCTCCAATCCAAGAAGTTCTTGAATGAAGCTATCATTGTCATTGATATCTTAGGGATTCAAAATTTCAATCTAGTTATTATTTATTTGGTGTTTCTATTGGAAGAATGAGAAGTATTGGGTGGATTAATTATATTTGTAAAAAAAATTGGGGAGACGTTGATCTCGAGAGTTGAAAAAAGAAATGGAAGGCTTATGAGCCTGTGAGGTTTGATGTGTTTTCTTGGGGGACAAAAGGTTTTCAGAAAAGTGCCTTTTTAGCAATTCTTTGGTGTGTGTTTCAAATATGATGGACATGGGTTGCAAAAATGCAGATAAAAGTTTTTTAGTCTTTTTTTTTTTTGGTGGAGCTACCCTCAACGAGTTCAAATCATAATTTTTTTTTTTCATAAATTGTTTCTGGGTCCAATCATGTTCAGATTTAAGCTGGTTCAATGCAAGCATTAACCACTGGCACCAACCATCAATAACACCTGACCTCTAAGCTAGACAGTTTCAATTTGTATGCTACAGCTATAACGAGAAAGCTTGCGGGCTGAGAAGATAGAAAATAAAAAAAATAAAAAAATAATACGGAAAACAATTGGAAGCTTTGGAAGAATACAGGTCCATGTATGTATGGATTACCTCCGATCAAATCAGCTAACTTTTTTTCCACTCACTTTCAGGTGATGAGGGTAACACCATCAGAATCCTGATGGAAAGTTTACTCCATCCACCCTCCAAACCATGCCCTCGCTAGGGCAGAGCTACCCCCCAGGGGGGGCCGGTCAGGTCCCATCGGTGCCGCTGGCCACAGTACATGACAACCTGTACATATGGCTGTATTCTTCCAAATATTCCGACTGCAGCCGATTTTTTTTTTTTTTTGATTTTCTATCTTCTGAGCCCGCAAGCTTTCTCGTTATAGCTGTAAATGCAATTCCTATTGGTATCTCAAACCCCCTAGGATCTCTTCAGATCAGAATGATAGTGGTAGCTGAACATCTGTTATCAGACTTTTCTTAACACTTTTTTCCTCATAAAGAAAACCCAAAAACCTGCTCATATTGGTTAACTATCAATGCTGAAAGAATTTTGTTGACTGTGAAAGTAGTAACAATGAACAGCAGAAGTGAGATTCTTGAAATTTAAAGTTTGGACAGATAAGACCTATGATTCTTTTTTTGCATCGTCCAATTTGTGGGTCTTCAGACTCAAAACTGACAAGAAAAGAAACATGGATGGGGGAAGGGGCAGAGAGACAAGAAGCATTGGTGATAAGATAAAAGACTGATTGAGGTCAAATTTGTGGCTACATAAAGTAAAAGTAGAAATAATGTATATGCCGCCTTGGAATAGAAACCAATGATGTGGCCCCAGTTCACATTGGATAACAGTGCAGTTATGCTTATTTTTTCTGTACATAAAGCTCAATGCTATCTATTGTAGAATGCAACCAAATGTTGGTCTGAGGTGCTAGTTTTTCCACATCTGTCCATAGATTTGATGCCGGATCCCTTAAACAGTACTTGATCCCTTGCTGTTCATTATAAAAGTGTATATTACCAGCCATCAGGATTGAAGTGTATAGTATAGCTGGTGAATCATCTGGTGTTCTCCAGAAAAGTCTTGTTGCCTCAGTTGGCTTAGAAACTGTAGTCAATCTGGTAAATCCATGGGGAGGACCATTTGCATTTTTAAATTTTTCAATTGGTATCAATGTGCATGCTAATCCGTGAAGCAGTAGTTGCATGAACCAAACCACGGTGATCTTCATCTTGATGTGGATCTCTTTGTTATGTCTAGATGAGGGAGGGGAGCCAATCAAACATTATTACTTGGATTAGGACATCAATTGGAAATATTTAATTGAAATCAGTCCAGAAGACTGATCAGTGTCATTGATGACATAACAGCCACAAGTAATTTGATTGGGGATGTTGTTGTGTGTGGGGGTGTTGAAGATTGGAACTCAAGTGCCAACTGAGAAGGATTTCGAAACTCACAAATTATTCAAGGGTCCAGTGCTCTGAGTCTTGAGACTATTAGTGACACTTGCTTCTTGAGGACTCAGGTGAAGGTTGGAATTGGATCCGAAGATGTATCAAGATGCAGCAGTCCTGTTGAGTATGACAGATTGATAAAAAAAATTTTATCAGGTAGCAGAGAGATCCCCTTTAAGTACTCAATCATTGACTACTTATTCCACTGCCTGCAATTCTGAACTGAGCCACGATCAAAGCTGTGCACTGGTTGATGTCAAGATATGTTTTTGTAACAGATCCTCACAGATAAGCAATCAAATGCCTGAACGACTTCTTATCTAAAGTGTGTCTCAAATTTTGTGTTTCAATTGCAAATATGTATCATTATCCTCGATTGACATGGGGAAAAAAACCAATGTGTGTGGGGAGAGCATAGTGAGTTTGAATCTGATCGATCATTGTTTTTTATTTTGTAGTTGGTATTGCTTGAAAGACTGCGCAAGATACTCAGCGGGTTTCAGTACTCTGATTTTCTGTATTATCTGATTCCTCCCTTTCCCTAAAGCCTAACTTTTCCTGCGAAGTTATGTAATGAGTATAATGAGTTAATTTTGAGTAAGTAATTTCCCACTGCGGGTTGCTCCTGGTACCGGACTCTGGGCGGACATAGCTTTCCAGCAGTTGATGCCCGCCGTAGGTTGACACTTTCTTTGACCAAGACTTCCACATGCAAGCGCTTAAAGTGCTTGGAGATCTGTGACGGGTAGCGGTTGGAAACATTCAGGATAAAGTTATAGGATTCATTCCACAGCATGCTGCACCTAGGTTACTATCAGGTCTTGGGGCAAATTTCAAGCAGTATTGACATCATCTCTACAGTAGTCTATGATTCGTCTTTCAAGAGGGACTGTGGAAAATTAGAATTGGTTTTACAATTATTGGCTCCTTCCTCTTCATCTTTCAATCCAGGGTCCAGCTTCAACAGATCTCCTGCGCAAAGACTACGTCATTAAGGTGTGCATAGCAAAAATGTCGGGATGTATTTTACAAGGCGAACCTGCATACAGGAAAGTTGCTATTGCAAATCTACAAATACAACATATGACTTTGGAGGTTATGAGAGTGTTGGGATCAGAGAAAGCTGTCTAGGATGGAAATAGCCAAAAAAAAGTAAAACGAGAAAAGAAACAAAAAGAAATCGCAACGATGTGGGAAATGATCTGGTGAATGATGACATCAATAAGCAAGAAGTTCGATTTTGGAGGGCCTCCAACTGCAAATTCTATCCGATTGATGGTCTTGAACCTCTTTGAGAGAGAGATGTCTGAGTTATAGCTTAGCATCCGTAGTGACTATGTTGGAAAAAAGCATCAGAAACCGAGAAAGTAAGAGAATTAGCTTATTATAAAATCGAGCCCCCAGAAATGAGCGTGATGACGACTTCACCTTGACCAATCATCATTGGGCCAGCGACGTTCTTCAAGATCTACAATTATTGGAGTAGGCAAATTTTCTGAGTGTAAGCAACAAGAGTCTGCCGCTACTCAAGCCATGAATGGAAATAGAGATGCAAAATAGATGGTTTACTTTTTTGGTATGATATTGATGAAAAAGTTCGGTTGCATCTTTTCCGCAATTCTTTAGCAAAACCTGATCGATGAAATGAGTCGGACCAAAAAAAGGGAAAGCAATGTTAAATTCCTTCTTATAGTTGTGTGAGCGAGGTTTTTTTTGGTCAGGAGGAGAAAAAAGTTGTCACCTTCTTGCCACCCGGATGCTCTTCACTAGAGAGTTTTTCAACAGGAGTTAAATCTCAGATCAGATCAAGCTGCTCTTTCTACTGTCTTCATAGGATGACCTCCATGACGATTCACAAGAATACTTACAGGAAATCTGTTACATCATATACCTTTCCTTCAACGATTACCCAGGCTGATTTCTCGTCCTTGTGGTTTTCAATTTCCTGAACACTGTAAGCACAAAGCGTAAAAGGGGACCACAGGTTTTCGTTAGGTGAAAGGCAGAAAAAGGTGGAACCAGGACATGGGAAACCGTTGACGAAAGGAAAGTTTGAAAGTGTCCAGGCGAACCTGATAATTTTGGCCGTCATGGTTGCTTGCGTTGATTGGATTTGGCTGGTGACTGGATCAAGTCATTCAAATTACAGACATTGGTCAGTTATGATCACTCGAAATGATGATACGAATTGGAACTTACTCGGAGCTTGAGGCTGGTTGAAGTATGAGACTAGTAGATAGGTGCCAGTGATGGTGATGATGATGATGATGATGATGGTAGTCCTCTTTCGCTGTTGAGGGTGTCCGCGGATAAATTGGTTCATCCAATCAGCTGCCTCGCAATGATTGGCTTGAGAGTGTCACGAGAATCGCAAACACACATCCCCAGGCTGCGTAACATGGCTGTGAAAGAGTCGAGCAGTGGCCCATCGCTCCGCCGCAGCAGATGGTCTAAACCTGCCTATAAATTCATTCCCACCACCCCGCCCCTCTCCCTCCCACACGCTGCTCCGTACTACTTGTAGTATGAGCAACTTCCGGCTAAAAATTTCCATCGCACCCTGTCCTCTTTCTTTTTTTGGATCGTGAATCATTTCGATGAGCTCACAGTGGGCGTGTTTGGAACGGATGGTCGGTAGAAGAAACACCCAAGAAATCAGACGATCTGTCGGCAGTAAAATCAGACTTTAATGATTATCTTTATCGTCGATGTGTTATTATTTTCGTCTGGTTTCTACAGCTTTTGTATCCAGTTACTCTCTTCGCTTGAAATCTACACATCATCATTCCAACCCTTCCTGTCATCCAACCTCATCGATCGTGATGAAGTAAACATCGAGCATATAGTGCACAGCTGACCGTGTATGTATGAACCAACATCCCTAGGAAGATCAAATGTCCCTCTCTCCGTTCCAGCGTCTGGCCCTGGGGTACCGTGCTATCGGGTTGCTTGGAGAGTTTGATGGCACATAAATAAATACTTGAGCCAATCCCGCTCCCGCTCCGCCAGCTTCTTCCTTGCTTTGGTATTTGCTCTCTGCCACCTTTGTGATTTTTGCTTTGTTTTTTGTAAATCAGATAAAAAAAAGGAAGGATTTTTTCACATCTCATCATAGAGACAGATATGCCTGAGTGTGCTCAGACTCTTTCATGCTAGGCTTGCAAACAAAAGTTTGGAATGGAGAATCCTTCATAGAAGCAAACATGATTGTTTGATACAAAAAAACAAAAAGAAAAAAAAACAACAACATGCAGAGCATTGATATACCAGAAGTAACAAATAATGATGAAGATAATGAAGGAGGGGTGGGGAAAATGCTGCTTTCACAAGAAAGATCTTACACTGCAGTTCATGCAAGTCACTCCTTTGAAGAGTTGCTTTAATCCAAGAACCATCCGGAAAAGGATTTGACTTGCGTTGAGACTTGAGTTTTTCATGAGCATGTTGGATCAGCACATACTGCAAGTGATTTCCCAGCCAAACAGGTCTGTGTCTCTCAGATTGTAAAGTGTTGTTTCACACAACTGATAAGGCAACATATAACGTCCTTGGAGGACCTCTCAGCGCGGTGTGAGACAAACTTCAAGCAAGTCCTGATTTGCTGCTATGGGTGTTGTTGATGAAATTTGGACCGAAGACGTGGAGAATTTTTGAGAGGAAAAATTTTTGGGGGCAACAAAAAATGAGTTTTGTTGGACTGACTCAAGGATCGGGAAAAGAATGAGAGAGAGCCAATGATTTTTATTTGCTTAGTAGAGCCTACGCGTTAAATAGACTACGTACATCAAGTTCAATCTGTGGTTCTGAGAGAAAAATGAATATCATAATGAATAACAAAAATCAACAAATTATTGAATAGATGACTGGAGTAAATGACTATTGATAAAGACTAGACCAGGGTTCGAAGACTACAAGGATTGCAGCACTAGACAACAGGACAAGATACCACGCAGAAACTAACAACAATTGTATAATACTTTGTATTCTATCATTTAATCATTATCACTTATAAGAATAAACAAAAAGGATTTTTAGGGATGAGGAGAGAGAGAGAGACAAAATTCCAACAGTTGTTGGCATATGAGTGGCCTTGCCCCTGTTGCATTGCACCAACTGTAGGGAGGGACTTTCCCCCTTCTTGTGTGGATCCTGAGAGGTGTTTGGACTCTTTTTGGTGGTGATAAATTTTGCACCTGGGACAAATTTTGACCCACTTAGCCAAATACTCCACCAAATTCAATGGGTCTGGTTACAGCTCCACTTCTGCCCTTTCATCCCACATACTTTTGAGCTGATCTGTGACAATATCCAAAACCATACAAGTGATGTAAATTTGTGATTTTTTGGGTGTTATTGGGATGTATAATACAAAATTGTTTGGAAGATCAGAGAATACAGGAACATCCACCACATACTATGATTGTTTTTTCTCAGTTTATGCTTGCTTCCATCTTGGTGCACAGAGATTATCTGTGGGGGATATGGAAGATGGAGGCCTCCATGCATAGCATCACAGGCATTGGATCAAAAATGCAAGTTCTCAGTTTCTTTTTTAGTCATTTCATTTCTTATGAAAAGACTGGTTTTTGGAACCTCAGATCTCCCAGGACCCAAACCAAACTTGAGGCTTTAGGTGCAAGCCTCTCTGTGAGACAGAGACCCTCCGGGCTGCCTGCTAGGGTCTCACTCAGAGGCATGTGCTAGGCTTGGGCGTGGGAGGGGTCCTTCAAAGGTTGTTGACACTGATTTCCAAACATCTCAAACTTGCGGATGTTTGCCCTGTGTCCCCTGAAACCAATTGAAGTTTGACTTCAAAAAAACATCCCTCACTTTTTGAGCAACTCAATAGGCTTTAGAGAAACCACATTGGTTGTTGTTTTAAGGTTGGATTAGGGTAACTACTCCAAGCTAGTCCAAGCCCTCAGCCGCACTGGTCCAAATTTACTAGGACTAAACTACTCCTGCAGTAAGATATGAACTAAGCAGGAGTATGTTGTGAAATGGCCAAAATGCTCAACAGTGCCACATGTCACAGGTCATGTAGATAGTCTTTATATATGATTTTCATCACATACTAATGGAATTCATTTCTTTCTTGATTACTCACTCCAACAGAGTAAAGTTACTCCTTGCTAATCCTGGGATTAAGAGCCAAATGCACACTCAAACACACATGAAACCCCCAGCTACTCCCAGTTTTACACCACAACAATGTGGTTGATTACTCAGAGTAGCACTAATACAGGAGTAAGCTACTTCACTAATACTCAAGTTAAACCTGCACCAGTGTGGCTGCTCTTAGGTTTGAGGGAAGGAGTTGGGGAACTTTTTTTTTAATTGGTTGGTTTTTGGGGTGCAGGGGAAGAAGTTTGCCAAGTTTGAGATGTTGAAAAATAGGTGTACACAATCCTTCAAGGACCTCTCTCATGTTGCTTGGAGAGGTCCTTCAAGGACTGGATATGCCAACTAATTGGGTGGGTACACATTCATATCCTCAATATTTGATCCCAGCAAGAACAAGAGGTGAAACTTTAAATTTTACAGTAAATAAAACACATTAATTACAACATAGTTGAAACAATTTCAAAACATGGTTCAATTTCTGTAATCTTTGATGGGCTGTGAATACACTACTAGACACCCTTGATGTTTTACAATTAAAGTTGAAAAGGGATCTTGGAACTCTTTGGTCCATCATAAAGTTTTATTGACCAGAAGATCAAGGAATCAGCTATCACAATTCTGTTCTTCTTATTCAAATTGATCTAGCCCCAATGTTTCACCACAAATTCTTATTTTTTATTGCTGTGTTCTGCTTGAGAAAAACTCAAAGTGTGAAGTTAAACCAGGTATCACATGCAGAAAATGAAGATCTAACTGGAAGTAAGTAGTGAATATTTTTTATCTTCCCTAAATATCAAGATGATTGAGTTGATTTGGCTCTCCTTCCTACATTCCTCAACAAAAAATATAATTAAAAAGGAGAGATGCCTGCAGATATGGATCAACTGGATTTGGGGCAAATCCAAAATCAATCCAATCAAATTATAGCTCAACGTAAGTATTTTTTTTCTAAGATCAAATAAGACTTGTATTATCTTGAAACTACTTTCTTTCTTTGTCAAAATATTACAACACACCAAATGAGATCTATCTAGATAACAATCAACTGAATCAGTTTGAGAAAGTTCAAGACTTGGAAAACAGTAGTCATCCTTCACAATGTAAGTGTGGAACCCTTTTTAATTTCTCTACCTTAAGTTAGAATTCAATTCAAAGCTTCCTCCTGCCTCAAAAAAAACAATTTAATACAAAACATGGTATACTTTATCAATTGGGTTTGAATAAAATTCAAACTCAAGTCAATGAAGCTCAATTGCAATGTAAGTATGCAATAGTTCCTATTTTCCCTTGAGTGTACTAGCAGGATAAATGATTTTATTTTGAACCTCTGCCTTCCCCTTCATAATTTTTTAATGGTATTACAACTTGTGGAAACCTGAAATTGACAAAACAGATGATGAGATACATCAAGACTTTTTTGGATCTCAAGAGAATGAAGCAAAGAACAATGAAATAGAAAGGAATATCAAATTAATTTCCAGTATCCCACCACTGAACAAAGGGACTAAGTTTGGGTTGGCAAAAAATTGTGAGCCCATATATTCATGGTATGTCAAACAACCAAATATAACAAACTCCTTTCAATTCATGACAGATGTAAAGCATCCAGATAATAAGAAGGCAAAGAAAAGTGAGATTGCTTGATTTTGTGTTGAAATCATTTTTTCTATAAATTAATCAATAATGGATTGATATTACTCAATAGTGTTGATGGAAACCATGCAAGAGGAATTCAAGGTTTTGGAGGAGGAGCTTGGGGACCTTTTTGAAAATAGTGATGTTCAGCTCAAACATGCTAGGAAAATAAAAGCTATCCAAAATCAAATAAAACTTTACATTCAAAATTGGATTTTACTTCAACCACATACCAAAGGCTTAGAAATTCAACCAAGTGCTTCAATCCTTGATGATGGGTATTGCAGGTGGGGTGAAGTGTATGAGTAAGAAAGTTCCATATATCTTTCATGTTCATAAATATGGACTTTGGAATAAAAATTGATCTGTCTTATTGAAATAATTGGTGAAACTTAGATTGACACTGAACTTAAAAGTTTATATGAAGCATGAATTTGAGGATTTAATCTCCAAGCTTGGAATCAAATCCAGAAGATTTCTCAAGGGAGGGTATAATTCACCAAAGGTGACAAGATTGAAGGTAAAATTACAAAGGACCAATTTACCAGAGGATGTCTCCAAAAATGTCTTTATACCTCAGGAGATACATCAATTAATTATGAAACACTTAATAAGAAATTTACCTCAAGTATTGCTTTCATTGAATGAAAATATACGCTATTTTATCAAAAATGCTGATTTCATGAGATTTCAAAGGCTCTCATTCCAAACGGCAGATTTTCTTTACAGATATGAACTACTATCTGTTGATGATTTCAAAAACTTATTTAAAACAAATGAAACCATAGAATATGCTGCATACAATATGATAATGTCTTTTGCATATTTCCATGAAGAAAGTTGTTACTGGAGACCTCTCAATGTGAAAGCCATTTTGGACAGCTGGTATTCATCCCCCTTTAGGAACATTTATGAAGGTACTCAATTTTGTCTCTTATATGTTGGTTGCAATTTGAGCTGACATGTTTTCCCTGTTATCTCATTTATTCAAATGGAAAAATTGACTGTTAAATTGGATCATACTTATTTTTCAGTCCTGGAAAATCCCAAGAAAAATTACTTCTGGTATTCAGCTTTGAAATTTGCATTCAAGTATCACCTCAAAAAAAACAGACACAAAGAGGAATGGGAGAAGAACCTTAATTGGAAATCATTATTTGACAAATTATTTGAAAAAGATAATTTTTTTCATGCATTGGAACAAGAATCTTTTGAAAATTTTCACCCACAAGAATCAAAAGATGTTAAAGAATTAATCCAACATGTAGCTGATGTTTTTGAAAATTTTAAAAATTTAAGTGAACATCAGCAACAAGAAACAGTTGCAGAGCTAAAACTTTTCTACCAGGTGTTAGAATTCATTGAAGAAAAATATAGCCATAATGCATCAAAATTTTACAAAAAAAGTGAAAGTTTCCAGATGGATCTCCAGCTCATGTCTTCAA